TGCGCACACCACACCCGTCTGACTCTATTCTTGTGTATTTGTTTCTCCTTAAACACTCTTTGTCTAATTAATTATAAATGACATTGTCCAGAGGAAAACTGCCATGAAAATGAGGCTTGGCTACACACCATAAAGAAGCCTGTATTTTGTCAGGATTTTTTTCTTTAAATAAATATTGATCACAAAAGCCTTTGTAATCCAAATTCTGTATTGGACTTATAAACAGCAGTAAGAGCATATCCACACAAACAAACAAATCAAATAAAGACATCTTTAATTCATATCTGCAGTTATCTTGTGTGTCAGTATATCCTTCATTATAACTCAGCCAAAGCTGTTTAACAAAATAATTAGCCTATTGTTAGCTAAACCAAAATAGGGCATTTGCAATCCAAACTGAGACTCTCCACACACTGACACACCCCAGAATAATTAATGCTGTGAATAGGTGATACATATAGGCAAAAGCAAGAGTCCACGCTCCTTGCACCCCAGGGACTAAAACATCATCCCACTGTACCACAAGCACCACACTGCTGTTGCTCTAAGATAGAAGTCACTGAATCTACACTTTCCTCTCGCTAAACAACAATAACATACCCCTCTGTACTCCCCACAAACTAGCTCTCTTCCACCCTTTCATTTTTCAAGAATCCTTGTCAAAGCCTCTCAGATTTCATAACATCAGTTTACTACACAGCCCAATCACTGTAATCTTTCAAACATTTTGGAGGACACATACAACAGAGAAGTTTTACCTTCTCTAGCAACCTCCCACAAGACCTAAAACATTTTCCTTCACAAGTCTAAGTTCTTTCTCTCACCTTGCACATCAAAGTCCTCTTCTTCCAGCGTAGTCTACATTGACAAAACCTTCCTCAACTTTTCCTCACTCTTGAGTAATCTAACATTTGGCAACTTTACCAAATTTTAACCTTGGCAGCTGTTGCTCCTTCATTCATTACCAGGCAGTTCATATGTACAACTGGTGAAATATTTCTAACCTTCTTTTCTAATAGCTGGCATACTTGATGTAAGGAGCCTGTAGAGCTGGGGGAAGAAGATATCATAGGCATGGCTACACATCACAGAACACCAAAGGGCACACACCAACTGCTTTGCTTTGCGGTTCACCTTTAGTTAAAGCCCTGCAACAGTTTTGGCAGCTAGGTAAGTTACCAGATGGGCAGAAGGAGACCCAGAGAGATGAGTAATTACCCAGCCAGTTAGTTAGAATCTGGAATAAAACCCAGAGGCCCTGTTTCACACTCGTTCTAATGTTACATCGCCTTCTATATCTACCAGCCATGCCAACTTTAAGTCACTATGTAATAATTTATGTGTTGTCCTACTTTGTTCTTCATATCCTTTTCTGAAGGTCAACCTCAGAAGAGGTCTGCCCCTTCAATCCAACTCACAATCAACCTCGAGACTTGGCAAAGATGATCCAATCCCTCAGTTTTTCAGTGCACTTTTTTAATCCTCCCCCAAGGATCAATGCAGTCAGATCCTTCTGCAAATCTGTAACACCAGTAACTTTAATCTATTTTTAAAAATATCATTAGGATACCCACCAATGAGCTAAGCAATACATAATTACTGCATTAAGCTCTGAAAATGGAGATCCTACAAGGATCCTCACCAAAGTATTTCAGATTATCCTGTTCCTTGACTGACCTGCTGATATCCAATATAACTCATTAGAAATTTAATTATCTTTACTAATTGTAATCTTCTATGTTATATGAACTTTTATTAGTGGCCTATATTTTCTGACACTTCTTGTATCACAACTTGTTGATATCTCTTTCTGTTCTTTAGACTTTAGAAATGGATATAAAAAAGCCAATATTCATTTAATCTTGTCAGCACTTAAAATTATTTCACAGTTTACAAGTAAATAAAACATGTATTCTCTGGTATACAGACAAAACCTTTAAGGAAAATCCGCAATAAGGATAGACCACCTTAGCACTCAGAAGAGACTGCAGGGATAGTTGTGCCTTTGGGAACATGTTTAGGACACACTAAACAAGTGCTTTCTCATCCATGATTATTAATCTATTGTTACATTAGAACAGAAAGTTCCCTCAATTTCATTTCACCAAGGATTCACTCATACACCACTGAAAGGAACCTGAAATCTCCACCAGCACATACTAACTACCCTAGATCTCAGCCAGAAGGTTATGCAACACAATGGGAAGATCCACCTCATTTTTTTCCTGGCGGTCCCCCAAAGTTGCTGAGCATCAGATCAGCAAATACAGCTGTAGTGCTATGATATCAGCCAGATCACTGCAGGAACAGGAGGGAAGAATAGGAGGAAAGAAAAAGGGAGGGTAATAGATATGTACATTGAATTATTTTTAAATCCTTTTGTTCAGCTTCTAACTCCCCAAATCCTCACTTCAAGTACTACATAACAGATTATCAGATAGAGCCCTACTCAAACAAAAGTTATTTATACTTCTACATTTGCAAGTCCAAAGCATCCCTTGCTGCATGAAATATTTTTTCACTTTGAGGATTTTAGGTATCAAAACACACTGAATAACAAATAAACTCTGGTTAGCTCAGTTTAATTCGGACAGCTCACAGACTGATCAGCTCCTTGCTCTGTACTAAATCACGTGCAGCCGGCACACCACCTGATTCTGCACTGCCTTACTTCGAAAAGTACCAGAGCATCTACAACTTATGGGACATGAAGAAAGGGTGCCATTTCTCAATAGTTAACCACAACTTGCTTTTCAACAATTCTGCATAAACCAAAACATCACAGAGCATTTTAACTGTCTTTAGCCAGTAAGAACAAAGTCACCACAGTAAAATAAGCAGAAGCCTTGGCTCATTCCTATTACTTGCTATTGCACTGACACAACTTTTTAAAACACACATAGACTTAACCTATCATGAGCTCCTACAGAAACATGTGATTGCACTCCTTTCCTCCTTGCCTCTATCTGAGGAAAGGTATTTTAGATTAAAACATCATAGGGAAAAACAACTTTTTTTTTTTAAGACTCCATTTTATTGGACTAAACATGTTTTAAGCACATCCCATATTTGTGTTCGGTGGATTTGTATACATATATTTGACAAAAAATAATTTAAAAAAAAATTAATTTCACAAGGCACACAAAGTGTTTATAGTCGAACAACCTGAGCACCACAATATACATACACATACTGAATGCTGTATTCTTTGAATGAAGGGAAGGTTGTGTGTAAACATACATTGCTCTCATGGGCAGAAGACCTACAACTGCAGTAACTACAAGATCACAGGTCATTTAAATAAACCCTGTACCTCTATGACACTTTCTGAAGCTCTCAATATATCCCACCACACATGTGACCTGAACTCCCACCCCTTTCCCACTCTCTACATTTACTCACTGCCCTCCCTTTTTGGCTTAAATAGGGAAGTGTAGAAGAAAAGAAAGCAAGAAAATTCCCTAGGGGAACAGAAGGAGCTTTTAACAAAACCAGCACCAAGCTAGCTTTCCCAATACCCAGTTCTGCTTCAACTCTCCTCCTTCTCCTACTAGGCCTCTCTTAATTACATAGACGCACTTCTGCCCAAACGAAGTTGAACCCTAGGCACCCACAGCCCTTAAGAAAGCAGCTGTTCAACTCAAACAGCCCTGCACTTCTAGCGCAGGCGTGCTGTACCTACATACTCTGCTCCCTCATTATTCCTCCAGAGCTGACTGCTCTGTGGGGCAGGCAGCAAGACAGAGCAATTCACCTGTAACGTATCCGAGAGATCTAGGGGAGAAGAGGGGGGAAAAAATAAAGCCGAGTTGTTTGGTTTTAAGCTATTCTCCTACGCCCTGCAACAAACAGGAGAGAAATTTACAGTTAAATGTAAAGCGCGTTTGAGGCAATCACAGCGTCAAGTGAAGCTACAAGTTTGCAGGATGCGACCGAGGCTCAGCTCGGGAGAGGCCGCCGTACCCGAGCCTTTCCCTCCCTCCCTCCCATGTCCCTGAGAGGGGTCTCCACGTCGCGACGGGCCCGATCCGCGCAGGACGCTCCGGGATGCCCACGGGCAGCCCAGCCGCAGGCTCTATTCCGCGCACAGCGGCGGCTTTAAGGACCACCCAAGAGGCAGGCCGGGCCCGGGGAGCTGAGGAGGCTGGATGCCCTCAGTACAATTGGTCTTGCTATTAAAGACTGAGGCAAAGAAGTCATTAAGCACCTCAGCCTTTTCCTCATCACTT